AACCTGCCTCATGGTCCTGTAGATTCGTTCCTTCTCGTTCTGGTTGACCGACTTCACTCGGTTCCAGTCCAAGTGTGCATTTCACTCCAGACGCTGCTTCTCAAGACCTTGGAAGCGTGTACACCGCCTCCTCATCAAACAGAGCGCCTAAGCTCTGATTCCAATGCTTGCAGATATCAGACATTGCCTTCACGGGTCGTCTCCTCGATTGAACTCGCGTTACCTGAGCAAACTGTGAGCGCTTATTGCATTTCGAGCGGATTTCTGGTACATTTTGGCCACAAAGCCGAAGTTCGGTGACGGTTTGCTTATCCGTCTCCCTAGTCACGCGACCATCAGGTCTCCAATGTTGTATTTGTTTCTTCGAGCAGACTACATTCACTAACAACGTCTTCGTTTCATTTCTGAAACTTACTCGCCCTCTTTTTCCCTGCGATCCTTGATCCAGGCGTCTCGTTTTTGCATGTCTTGTTGCATCCCTGTTTTCTCCGAGTTTGATTAGGCAATAGGCAAAGTTATCATTAACTCTGTCTTATTCCAATCCCATGTTCATTAAACTGTTCCCCCAAGCGATGTCAATCTCCTCCCTCATCTTCCGTTTCTTTGTGCTTTCACTGTATGAGACCATTTTTTCTGTTGCCCTCCAATTGATCTCGTGTTGACTCTGTGCGATGTGTTCAGCTAATTCTGATTTTTCCGTATCCATTTTCCTGCAGAGCTTCTGATATTCCTATAATTGTGTGCTAATTTTACTCCCTGTTTTGCCAATATATTTCTGTTTGAAGACGCCGTATGACGTACAGTAACCTCCTGAACAATCAAATTTGTCTACCCTTTCATGATGCGTCGGTAGACTTGTGAAAAGTGTTGATACTTCTTTCATGGCCACTCGAATAGTCCATTTTCTCAATATTGGCGTTGTTTTTGAGTTAGTTCGCAGGGAGGTAGGCATATCCACTTTTATGAATCCTTCTCCGTCCTTACTGTTTTTTCATAGCCCTCGTTCTGCGATCAGCTTGTCACGGCCCGTATGTTTCTTGGTATTGCTTCACTTGGGTAACCGTTGCCGAGGCATATCCTAGTCAATTTGTCCAACTTGCCATCACAGAATTCTACATCCGTTAAGCGTAGGCTTCGGATGATCATGCTCCTCATTATTCCTATCTTCTTCATGCACTTTCTTACGAAATGAAAGTACCCCCAACAATCCTATCTT